GAGCTGAAGTTCACCAAGTACCAGGGAAAGGGCTACGAGGCGGACCCCCTGACCACCATGTTCGTCAAAGCCCGCGTGATGGCCTTCGCGGATGTGCCCAACCTGTTCGCGCTGCCCCAGCCCAACATGGACGAGCTCGTGCCGGCCGAGGAGGTGGACAAGTACACCCGCCAGGAGTACACCACCAGGATGATGGAAGCGCCTCCTCTATGAAGCTTCGACACAGAGACCCCACTACCCTTCGATTGTTCGTGGCATATCTACTTCAAACTGGACTTGCCCTCGGCAAGTTAACGTAGGGGCTTTGGGCTCTCTGGGCGTCTTGTTTGCCATCGGGTTCCGGGAGGATAGGGGCAGACTTCCATAACTGAAGCTTAATGACTTAATTCAACCCCGAGCCGAAGCCATTTCCCCAGCCCCTTTTTCGGGTACTTCTGCCCATTTTGGGTTACTACCCTAGCAGTCATGATCCCACCCTCACTGGTGGCGAGGCGCTCAAGCGCGTCCAGGACGACCGCGCGGCGAAGGCTGCCAAGAGCCTTTGAGCAAGGCGGGATGGTGTTTTCAGGGCGGGGTCTAAGAGGCTGAGTAGGTAACCTTTAACCTTTTGGGGCTTATATAATCCTACTATAATCACAAGGTTAACCTTTTTTGGGCTAGGGTACCCAGCCCCTAAGGGGTTTATCGGCGGGGTTGACAGGGTTGTGTAGAGATGTCATAGGGTTATGCCGGCATCTTCTTGGGTTGCATCGCTTTAGTCAGCGGGGTTGCTGTACGAATTGTTCTACGGGATTTTGTAGTGCTTTCATTTATGTTACCTATGAAGGAGATAAAATTACTTGGAGGTTCATGGGACATAGTAAGTACAGTTATAACTACCAAAAATTGGGGTTATAAGTAGTTAGAACTATAGTTACCTTATTTATACTTTGATTGGGGGTATAAGTAGTTATAGCTATAGTTACCTTATTTATAACCCTAGTTCCATGAACCCCTAAGTAGGAGAGCCCAAACCCAGGCATCCGAAGCGCCCCTTCGTGGGGTTTAGGGGTCTAGGGTTTAGGGTTTCTAAACCTGAAACCCTAAACCCTAAACCGCCAAAGGCGGAAAAAGGCCCGGCTAAAAAAAAAAAACGTGCAAATCATTATCGCCAGCCCCCCCCCCCATTAACTGAAAAAATGATCCCGAAGTTCCCTCAAACTCAGAACAAGGGCGCTCGATAGGTCAAGGGGTCCTGAATTATGCGGCCTAAACACCCTGGAAAGAAGAACAGAACCCCGTAAACGCCTTAAATGGCCCCAGAACCCTGAACCCTAGACCCCTCGCAGCATCTGACGTGCCGTGAACCTGAAAGCCCAAAGCCCCAAGCCCTGAAAGCCCTCAAAACCAAAACCCTAAAAGCCCTCAAAACCTAAACCCTAAAAGCCCTCAAAACCTAAACCCTACAAGCCCTCACAAAGCCTAAAACCCTATTATAAGCCATAAAATTCTAAAGCCCGAAGACCCGAAACACAAAAACCAAAGCTGTCTCAGCATGCTTACCGGAGGCCCCGTTGTACGGAGAGCCGCAGACAGAGGCATCGTGGGGCTGCGAAAGCCCCGAAAAACTGCAACTTTTTTTTTCATCGGATCCTTGAGGGTTTAGGGATTTTTAGGGCTTAGAGTATGCTCTCGGATCCTTAAGGGGGGGAGGAGGGGGGGTTCCCGAGTATACCTTGCCCCACTTGGACTGCCCTCCCGTATGGCTCCTACGGTTGATGATATAAATCCTGCATTACCTTAAGGGCTTTGGGTTTAAGATTTAGGGTTGTAGGGTTTAGGGTTTAGGAATCCTGCATTACCTTAAGGGCCCTAAACTATGGGAACTATGGTATATTCCTTATTATGGGTAAATGCAGGGTTTATATCATCAACCGTAGGCGCTGAAGGCTTCTAAAACGGAGCCCCTACATGTGTTACACAGGGTGGTCAAGAGATGTAGAAGGGGTCTTCAAGTGGTCTTCAGAGGGCTGTAGTTTATCCAGTTATAGGCCGGTTTAGGGTTTAGGGTTGTAGGCTTAATCAAGCGCACTGGTGCTGGTAACAGGCAAAGTTTTCGAGTGATCATACTCGCAGGTTCATAAAGCCCCAAATCAAGCAATGTTACAGTGTTTCGTTGTTGGGTATTTTCAGACAAGGCATGTAGCAGGGATTGAGCTATAGTCGAGCACTTACAATACCATCGGAATCTGATGAAGGAACCTTGGGTCGTTATTAGGGTTTAGGGTTACTGTGGTTCTTGATATGGGTCCTAATATACCATGGTCATAGGACCAGGGTTTATTAATCAAGTTCCTACACTGCCTCAACGCCATCACGCCTTTAGACAGCAAGAAAAGTTAGGGCCCAATACCACACCAGTCCTTCGCGATTCGAGATCCTACCGCCTCATGTCCTTATCCTTGGCTTCCGAAGGCGGGACATTGATCAGAGCTCTGCCTTAATCCCTGGCCGCCCAAAACCTGCGAACGTCCCGAAGCCTGAATCCCCGCGCCCTTAAGCCTTTGCCCCTTTTAGCCTGCCAAAGCCTACTTCCCAAAGGCTCCCTGTACCCTTATAGTAGTATACTTGGGCCTTAAAGAGGTTCCTACATAGGTACTTAAGAGCCCATGAATCTACTACATAGGTACATGGAGCCTTAGGCCTTTTTAGTAGACTCAAGCCCGCAGAGGACTGGAAGATTCCGTGGATGGTGACTGAGCTTTTTCAAGAACATCAACATCCGAAACGTTGCACCATCTCCGTGGGGTGAAAAGGGAATGCCGTGCTCCTGGTGCGGTCTGGGTCCTTGTTGGATACAGTTTTACATTTTTGTTATAACAAAACCCTAATAAGGATTAAAAAGTATCATGTTTTAACATGGCCCCAACGGGGAACCAGAGGTACTTAGGTGAGTGTGACCCTAAACTTTGAACCCTGCTCTCAACGGTGAACGATGTTGTTAGTGTAGGGACCTTAATGATTAGAATAGGGTTTGGGGTGTATATAATACTATGATTATAATAAAGAGCCCCCCCGAAATCCCATTCTAATTGCTAATTATTAAGGCCGCCCTACATTAACGGTTTTGAGGAGGCCTTTGTGCAGTTTAAGGAAGGCCTCGCGGTGGTGGCATGTATTTGGAGGTTCGTGGGACTTAGTAGCATCACTGTTCCATAGAGGGATCGATAAGGGCTTTCATGGAGTTTCTACGGAGGTACTGTAAGGGCTCTATAGGGTTGTTTTCATCGTTTAGGGTACGTAGTAAGTAGAAATAAAACAACTGGGGCTATCGTTACATATAAGTGAGTTATCTTACTTATAACGCTAGCTAATTACTAAGTCCCATGTGCCTTAAAGACTTAAGGTATGGCTTAGGAATACGGTTTAGGGTTTCGAGTTGAGGGCTTGGGGTGGGGTTGATATCAGGGCTTTGGTGCGTGTTTACAGGAGCTACTTGGAGATTTGGTGAGCATAGATTTGGTGTGTCCTTCTGGGATATGAGCAAACATATTGATGTTAGATTGAAACTTAAGTGAGGCTTGATATTGACCACGATGCACAAGTCACGCCATGAGGTGTTTCTTTCGCTGTCCTTGATCATATTAAGGACCTCGCAGAAGCCTGCTACATTCCAGGCAGTGACAAAGACAAGGTAAAAGAGAAGGATTGAACATTTTGAGAAATGGAAGCATATAGGTCTCCCTTAAATTTCGCTTGGTAATAACTTGAGATATGATTCATATGATACATGTGTTTTTAGACATAGCATGCACTGAAGCATGTTATGCATGAAGGTTGAAGGGTTGGACGGCTGTCGATCGGCTCAGACGCGGCCGACCCCCTGCCGAAGCAAGCCATCTGAGCCATGTCGTCCATGCCAAGGAGCGTGGCCCTGCTGGGCGTGGGCGCAGCCCTGACGATGGCCTGCACCGCCTTCGTGGCCCCCAGCGGACAGAACCGGCTCCGCGCCACACGCACGCAGCCGCAGGTGGACTTC